GAGACAAGGGATCATGGGGGGGGGGAAGAATCCCAGCTGTAAATCAGGGTCCGTGCCAAGCCAAGCAAGACGCCGCTGTGGAACTAGAGGAAAAATGAAATCTGTAACACGAACGCGTCTACAGACTACCTCGTACTATGTATGGATGCTTTTTTTTCTTTTTGTTCTTACTCTTGTTGGTAATTTTCAACTCGTAATACCTGTAGGGGTACAGTGCGATAGTCTTCTTTTAGAGTCCATCCCTTACTTGATTGCTACTCTGTAAGTATGGCCTCGCTTTCAGCTTCTCGTATCAAATAGGGGGGTGGACCAGATCTAGATGGACCTACTAGGTAGCGCCAACCCAAGCGACGGCGTAAGTACGATTTCTGCAACCACGTTTTCATGGATGATAGCTTCGTAGTGAAAAATCCGTGGCTGTCTTCTCTCCTCATCTGCAGACCATTCAATAGAGTAGCAGAACCTTGTCAGCCCTGCCGTGCCTCTCCACGTCCTGGGCGTCACGAAGTGTTGTGTTTCCCATCGACGGAAGCGTACGGGTTGACGGCACCGCCATCGGCGCACGGCACTGTTTTCATGATCGTCATCACTGTCATGACCGGACGAGAAGAAAGCACGAGATCGTTACCGGGTGCCCTCTTTTGCTCAGCTCACGCACGACGTAGCCACGATGTAATTCTCCCCCACCACACTAACCGGGAAAAGATGAATAGATGATAATTGGGAACCTGTTTGGAAAATATAATGATGAGTGGCGTCTATTGTTCCAATCCTAACAAGTCGCGTGTCGGACAAAGAAAGAACGCCAGAATAGTGTGTTTTGGGAACCGTCAAGTACGAGGTAAATACTATGTGTACTCGTAGTACTCGTAGTATTCGGAGCTACAGTCTCAGTATTAATTTACTCTGGAACAGCAGCCAGGAGAGAAAAGTGAGTTTATGCCTACCACCAAAGTTCTGCAACCTTCGGGAACATGGCCGGGTTTAGAGGAGACGGCAAGTCTTGTCGGGTTTACATACTGATGTACAGAGTACATTCGAGCATGTACGAGTAGTCTTAGCTTTTTTTTTTTTTCTTTTTTCCTTTTTTTTTCTTTTTTTTTACTCTCGAAATACTCTCGAGAAGGAGGAAGCCCCTTTGCGTGAATCCCTCGTCTCCGGATTGTCCGGCCACGTAAGCGCTGTCACCACTCCGTATTACAGTATTACGGCGGAATGGAGGTTGACAGATGTGTGAATTGTCAAATATCATATATTATTGCTCTACACATCTACTCCGTATGGTACAAGTATATTGCAGATACATGCGACTGCAATCGTACCATATGGGTCGCTCACACGGCACACCTGAGAGAGAGAGCCATGCTGTCTAACCTGACAGAGCAGAAGGTTGCATCCGTGGTCCATGTCTAGAGGTGAGAATCCCGTTTGATACCTGCACACCGCACCCTGATTCAAAGCCGATACGAGCCCTACTCCGCAAGGTGCCGTAAGGAGGAAGGAAGAGGTGAGGAGAGAGGGAGGCCAGGCCGGGCCGTCTGCTATAGTTGCAATGTTAATACTGCACCGGTATGACGGACGGACCTGTGTACTCGTGCATGTACGACTATCATATTATAATATGCGGAGAATCCCAGACATAGCAATGCACTCTCGTACGAGTCATCGCACAGTAAGAGACGAAGAAGAAAGGAAGGAATAGGCTGAGAGAACATCCCCCCCCCCCCTGCGTCGAAGTCCAGAGACAGGCTCATCTCACATCCGCTTCACCGAAGGCTCGACCGGAGATTTGAAACACTGACAACGTGGTGGGCGAGAAGATCAAAGATGGAGGCTTGAGACTTGCAAGTAGTACGAGTACGAGTGATGCCGTAAGGAGCATCGATCAATGTCCATCCCTCGCAGCTTTTCTATTATTATTGTGAGCTCCGTATTGCCTACGAGTAATGCCCGTAGGTAGGTAATTTTATTACTCGTACTTTGATGATCCCCTAACCCTTGCCAATCAACCCCATACCTGTAATCTGTACACCGAGGATTGAGACATGACCAACATCCAATCTCTCGACATGCAGCTACGGGGCGGGGCGAAGGCTCGGTACATAAAACGTCCCATCATCGTGTGTGTGTTTGCGTGTCAGGTAATGCTGATGCCCTTTCGATATGGTAATCTGGCCTACGAATTTATGTGCACGTAGTATTGTTACTCGTAGCGCGTTCCGGGAAGCAGAGACGCTGACAAGCATGACGGATACTACATGGCAATAATTACGATGCATTTCAATTCGCAGCCTCAAAGGGAAGCCTTCTTTTTTTTTTTTGGAAAGGGGGGGGGGGGTCGTCTTGGACCTGGCAGGGCCCAGACAATACAGTACGTAGCGTAGCATACGGCCTGATACGAGGAGTATTACGGAGCCGTGATGCGGAGTAGACAGGGTGGTTTATAATAATACCCTGTCCAGCCCTTTACGGACATTTTTCAATATTATTAGAACAATACAGATTACTCACAGACAAAGATGCATGATACCTTTTTCTACCATTGATCTCTTACTATCTCATCCTTTTTGTAATAATAATAATAATAATAATAAAACAGACATTCACCAAAAGAGGCCGAACCTTAGAACGAATCCTACTCAAACCCTTTCAAACGTCTGCTATCATCCTGACCTGCTTTTTTCACCGGTTGAAGTTGGTCGGAGGCACTTGTAAATCCTTCAAGATATGGCGAAGAAAGAGTGAGTCTAATTACATGGCATAGATGTGTTCAGCTGTCTGTGCGTATTGTGTGGACGTTAATAGAAGCCCGCGATACGACGTGATACTCTCGGCATACTCGTATACTCCTCAGTCCATCTATTCCGGGCAGTACGGAAATATAACACGCATCCTCTTTCGTGAGTCTCATAACCAATAACTTCACGAAAGCGGTGTGCGGGACAAAACGAATCCGGGGGCCGATGCTTGCAAGGAGCTGGGAGTCGTTCACACTGTTCACCAGCATTACCCGATCGATGATGGAGACGCGTACCGAGGTGAATGCCTCTCCATTCCATCATCCTGTGTGTGTGTTATTTATAGGGTATCCTTGGCGATGTACGAGTTTGGGCGTTGTAACGCTTGAGAGAGGAAGCCGTACGAGTGAGTATGTGTGACGGCCACATCAGGTAGGATCGTAGCACGATGGAAATGCACGCCTTTCTGTCTTTGTGGGTGAGGGGAAGGAGGAGGAGAGAGAGATCTTATACGGAGTAATCTGTACTTTGTGTTTATTGTTCATCTCGACCCCCAACAACACGCACATGTAATTATCAACTGCCTTCTATATGAGCAATGCCACTATTCGCAAAGACTACATTTAAAGTTAAGAAACCTCACTTCTCACGCGAGATATACCTCATGTGACAAGAAATGATAGTAAGATAAGAAAGGTAAGATAATCGGATCGATTTGAGAAAAAAAAAACCAAAACAAAACAAAACAATATACGATGGCAAGACGGACTGCACTCACAATGCTGGGTTTGAAATCTCAAAAACATTGTGCTCCCGGGTAAGGTTGATGTCGAGATTGGGTGCCTGATAAGCTCGACACCAGAGACCAAAGATGCATGCATGTAATCGAGCCAGATTGTGGTTGTTGTAAAAAGAAAAAAGAAAAAAAAAAGAAGAAAGACCGTTGATAGAGCTCTGGCAGTAGATTCTTTCCTTTTTGTGAACTCACAGACGCACATCTGACTTGCATCTCGCCGTTAAAAAAAAGGCTTGCATAGCATGACATGACGTCTCGCTGCCTTGCATCCCAGGCATCAACATACAAACGCACCAAAGTGGTCCTCTCCCTCTCTCCCTCTCTCTTGGCGTGCCGCCGCACCACCCATTAGCCCTACGGCAGCAGCCTCGTCGACCTTTTTTGGAGCCGCAACGAACGGGAACACCCCCCATGGCGTCATCAGCACGGGGAAGATCTGGGGAAGCTATCTGATGGACAAAAAAAGAAGGTGGGGTATTGTCCTTCTCTTTTAACTATTCAGAAGAATATATATATCATCTGTGAAAATATCTGCCTGAGTTTGGCTTGAGAGAGCGATAGAATGCCTCTTCCGTCAGAGGAGAAAGGTGAAGGATTCCAGCCGTTGCCGACCTTTGGTGGTCGTTTTGAAGCCATCTTGGCCATCTTACTGTCGTAGAAACACCAATGCTCCCATTATCCAAATCTTTGATGACCAGAATGTTGTCTTTTTTTTTTTTTTTTTTTCGCGCAGCCAGTTTTCTCAACGTGATATTGGCGGGGAATTGAGATAAATGTGAGATTCGCTGGTGATTGCCCCTGTTTTCTGGGTCCCTCAGGCCGCCCACATAATTGGGGCTAGATGAACCTGTTGACCAATGAGAATTACATATTCATGCCTCTTATTCATCTTCACGTGAGTAGTCAGCAAAGAAAAACACAGCAGCAGCAGCAGCAGCAGCAGCAGCAGCAGCAGGTAACCAGAGACCAGACAGGCGCTGCGCCTTATTAACAGGTCTCTTTTTCTGCTGTGAGACTTTGGTGCATCATCGCGACCACGACACGCGAAACCTCCCATCCATCACCGCCGTCCGCGTCCGACAAGGCATTCACCCGTCTGGACACATCATCACGCGGAGCTCTGTCGATAGAGGATCTGTAAAAGTCCCTCATCTGTTTTTGTACTATTCTGTGTCTCTCCTCTTGACCTTTGTGTACTACTGGTGCATACGCCCCCTGTCGGTCTCCCTTGTCGTTCGTTAGCCGTCGTCCAGAGCGACTTCTTCCGATGCACGCCTAGTTCGGCACCCGTCACCGCGTCACATCTCAATCGCTGTGAGTGAATCGGGGCTCCATGCCATTTGTTGTATTGCGAACGATGGCATCCTGGATAGAACACTAATAAGGATGGCTGATCAGGACCGCCCCGTTTGATACTGAACCCGCTCGAGGCGACTCGCCCGCCCACTTCCACCCCCCCTTTCAGAATGGCCAGCAAGCGCAAGAGACAGCTGGAGGTCTTTGACCCCAACAAGTCAGACTCTGAAGACGAGAATTTCGACCCCCGCGTCGACAGACCCCGCAAGAGCTCCAAAAAGGCTCGCCCCTCGAGACGCTCCAAGCCGGGGCGCAAGCGTGTTGGCCGCTATCGCGGTTCCGACATCGAAGATGACGACGACGAGCTCTCCGACAGCCAGGCCGACTCTCTCGCAGATGATGACGGAGACGAGGACGACGAGGATGACGAAGACGTCCCCGTCAACGCTGCCGGCCGAAGGACCCGCAAGGCCGCCACCCAGCAACAGAATTACAGAGAGAGCAGCGAAGACGCATCGGAAGACGTGGAAAAGGCCGAGGACGAGGACGATGACGACGTCCCCGAGCCACCGCAGCTGAGGAAAATCGTCAAGCTCAAGGTCCCCAAGGGTTTGCCGGAGGGAGGACGTAGAGCCACCCGCGCCACTACCGAGGATGCCGATGACTTCGTTGAGCTCTCCAACTCAGGCCGCCACGCTGTTGCTTTGCGCAATTCTCGCAGCAAGAGCCCGGACACTGCGCTGCGGAGGACCTCGCGCGCAATGAAGGGCGTCAAGAAGGCCCCCGACGCAATCGAAGAAGCCACCCAAGAGAGCAGCGCCAAGGAGCTGAACGATGCCGATGAGATTGATGAGCTCGCGAATGACCACGTCGGTGTGCTTGAGAAGAATGAGGATGACGATCAAGACATGGACGAAGCAGGTGGCAACGACAAGACGGGCGCAAACGGAGACGGCAACGACGACGACGATGACGACGACGACGATGATGCCGAGGGAGAAGACGTGGACGAGGACGACGGCCCTGTTACTAGACGCACGCGGCGCAGCAGAGCAGCTCCCGCCGTGTCTGAGCCGCCGGCCGAGCCTGAAGAAGAACCCACCGGCAGGCCACGACGATTGACTAGGAGGGCTGGCCTCAAGAAATCTGCCAAGGAGCCTAGTAGCGACTTCGACCCCGGAGATGACTCTGAGGACCACGACGCATCGGAAGCCGAGAAGCAGCCCGCTGAAGTCGATAGTCCGACACCCAGGGGTCGGGGCAGGGGGCGTGGCCGCTCCACCCGCCGGCGCGGCGACGACTCGGCTGACGAGGACCCGGAATTCGACCCCGACGAGCTCAACGAGGAGGCACGAGAGCTCCGACAGGCCTCGAGGCCTCGCCGCCGCCGTGCAAGGGAGGAGTCGCCTATTGTTTACGAGGCCCGGCGCTCCAGAGCCAGGGTCAACTACTACATGCCGCCTCTGACGTCGGCCATTGCCGAAGAGGAGGAGGCCGAGGAGCCAGCCCCGACACCTGCACGTGCCCGCCGCGGTCGTGGCGCTGCCTCGACACTGTGGGAGCGCAGCCTCAACACTACCTTTGGGCCGTTTGGAGGAGGTGGAGGTGCTGGTGCTCTCCTCTCGGGCCCGTGGGGTACGGGCGCGGCCGGAGGCGTCGACTCGGACAGCAGCGACGATGAGATGGTCCACCGTTCCAACGTTGCGGGCAACGTCGGCATGACGCCCACCTCGGGAGCTGCCCCCAGTGGTCTCGTGACGGCCGGCCAAGGCATGGCGGCCGAGGCAGCGCCGAACGTGGGCAAGATCAAGGACCGCAAGGCACTGGCCGATGCTGACCCGCTGGGCGTGGACATGAATGTCGACTTCGACAAGGTGGGTGGCCTGCAGGGCCACATCGACCAGCTCAAGGAGATGGTGCAGCTACCTCTGCTGTACCCCGAGCTCTTCTCCAAATTCCACGTCACGCCGCCCAGGGGCGTTCTGTTTCACGGACCCCCCGGAACGGGTAAGACGCTGCTCGCACGTGCGCTGGCCAACTCGGTCGGCGCAGGCGGGCGCAAGATCTCGTTCTACATGCGCAAGGGAGCCGACGCGCTGAGCAAGTGGGTTGGCGAGGCGGAAAAGCAGCTCCGCCTCCTGTTCGAGGAAGCCCGTCGGACGCAGCCCAGCATCATCTTCTTTGACGAGATTGACGGGCTGGCACCGGTGCGGTCGAGCAAGCAGGAGCAGATCCACGCCTCGATCGTGTCGACGCTGCTGGCGCTGATGGACGGCATGGACGGGCGCGGGCAGGTCATTGTCATCGGCGCGACCAACCGCCCGGATAACATCGACCCTGCGCTCCGACGCCCCGGCCGCTTCGACAGGGAGTTCTACTTCCCGCTGCCGGACATTGACGGTCGCCGGGCCATCATCGACATCCACACCAAGGACTGGGGCCTGTCGCAGCAGTTCCGTCACTCCCTGGCCACGCAGACAAAGGGCTACGGCGGTGCCGACCTGCGCGCGCTGTCGACCGAGGCGGCCCTCAACGCCATCCAGCGCACGTACCCGCAGATCTACTCGACGCAGGAGAAGCTCGTGGTCCGGCCCGAGAACATCACCGTCCACGCCTCCGACTTCATGATGGCGATCAAGAGATTGATCCCGTCGTCGGAGCGGTCCGCCACGTCGGGCGCCCAGCCGCTGCCGCCGACGGTGGAACCGCTCCTGTGCGACCAGTTCGAAACGGCGCGCGCCGCCATCGACGAGCTCCTGCCTCGCAAGAAGAAGCTGACGGCTCTCGAGGAGGCCATGTACGAGCAGTTCGACGACGACGACCACGGCTTTGGACGGGAGGCACTCCATCAGGAGTTTGAGCGCTGCCGCGTCTTCCGGCCCCGCTTCATCATCTACGGCGACCACGGCATGGGCCAGGGCTACCTCTCCTCGGCCATCCTGCACCACCTCGAGGGCGTGCACGTGCAGAACTTTGACCTGCCCAGCCTGCTGGGTGACGGGAGACCCATGGAGCAGGTCATCGTCAGCCTCTTCACCGAGGTCCGCCGGCACAAGCCAGCCGTCATCTTCATCCCCAACATCGAGGCGTGGTACGCCACGCTCCAGGGGTCAATCGCCCTCGTCACCTTCCAGACCATGCTGCGGTCCATCCCGCCTACGGACCCCATCATCGTCCTCGCCACGGCCGAGTGCGAGAGGAACGAGGCGCCTACGGATCTGCTCCGCGAGTTCTTCGGGTTCTCTAGGAAGAATCGCATGGAGATACCGCGGCCCACTACGGCGAACCGTCGCAAGTACTTCTCGGCAACCCTGGACTACATCAAGAAGAAGCCGTGGGAATTCCCAGACCCGTCGAACCGCAAAAAGAGGATACTGGAGCAGCTTCCCGTCGCACCCAAGGAGGAGCCCAAGCCCCCGACCAAGGCGGAGATCAAGGCGCTGCAGAAGAAGGACCACCAGATGCTCAACACTCTCAAGATCCAGCTCCAGCCCATCATGGACCAGATCAACCGCAAGTACAAGAAGTTCCGGCAGCCCGTGATACCGCAGGCGACGATCGACTACCTCTTTGCCGAGGCCGATCCCAACTTCGTCAGCCCGGACGTGGTCGACGGCCGGCACCGCCCGTACGAGATCGTCAAGGACAAGCACGAGAACGACGTTCTGAGGGATACGACGACTGGCAAGTGCTACTACAACCTCGAGACGACGACGATCGAGGAACGCCTGTCCAACGGCTTCTACGCGCGACCCCAGGATTTCCTGTTCGACATCAGGGCGCTCGCCAAGGACGCCAAGAACATTGGCGACAAGGAGCGCACGCTCAAGGCCAACGAGCTGCTCAGCAACGTCGAGGTGGACGTGGCCAGCATCGAAGCGGCCAGCTCGCACATGGATTGGGAGGGCCTCTACCGCCGCCAGGTGCAGCGCGCCAAGGACCTGGCCGAGCGGAACCGCAAGAGGAAGGCGATGCAGTCTGTCGTCGGCAGGGTCCAGTCCGACGTTGCCGGCAGCGGAAACGGAACCGGCAACGACAGCGATTCGCAGGGCCCCGTGACGCTGGGCGAGGCCGTCCCCGGATCGCTCACGACGGCCCGATTCCAGCTCATGACCGCCGTCCCCGGCCACGAGCCGTCGTCGTCGTCGCACGCGCTGAGCAACGGCACCGCCGGTCATGACCGCCAGACCCCCGTAGGCGGATCCGACGACGTCCAGATGGGCGGCGTCGACGACGACATCCCCCTCGTGGTGTCGGACATGGGACCACCCCCCAAATCTCAGAACCAGATCTCGCAGAGGTCGGCTGTCACGTCACTGCCCCCGGGCGTGTCACCGTCTGCCGTCATCAACGAGGCCTCCACGACCAAGACGTCCGACCCATCTACGGGGTCGAACTGGGGCCCATCGACACCCAGCACGCAGATGACCAACGGCCACAACAACCACGGCAGCAGCAACCGCGGCGTCACGTCGACAAGTCAAGACGACAGCGACCTCCCGGACACGGCCGTCGTCCCGAGCCAAAACGCAGGGGTGCCTGCGCACAGCCAGATGACTGCCAGCGAAGACTCGTGGATCCACTCTCAAGCACACGCCCTGCACGAGAGCAACAGCAACAACAGCAACAACAACAGCAACAGCAACAGCCACAACCCAGAGAGCCAGTCATGGTCACAATCACAATCACAAGCCCCAGGTTCAGCAGCAGCAGCAGCAGCAGCAGCAGCATCAACGGCAGCAGCAGCAGCGCCCAAACCCTCACCACGAAACGGCAGCATAGACATAGGCAATCTGCTGAATGACCGGGATGGTGATGATGACAGCAGCAGAAATTATGATGATGAGAAGAAGAGGTGGCAGCGGCAGCAGCAGCAGCAAGAACAAGAGCAGGAGCTGAGCCGTAACTCCGCATCTTCGGCCTCTCAGCCGCTGAGCATCGACAGCGCAGTGGACAGCGCCCTCGACAGCCTGACGGACAAGACGTCCGGCTGCACGATCGAGCAGCTGGAGCAGATCAACAGGGAGCTGATGGATGAGATCTGGCGTGGGCGGAACGAGTGGAACAGGCAGATGGTGCTCAACCACGTCACCAGCGTGTTTAACCAGGCTATTGATGACATTGAGTCGATGCAGGGTGTTGGACCTTTGAGTCAGAGGTAATCTCTTTTGTTAGGCGCATTCTTTCTTACCTTTTTCTTCTTTTTTTCCCCATCTTTTGTTTTCTAAAATTTCATGGTCTATTTTTTATTATTATTGTTTTAAAGAGACGGGGTTTACTACTGTTTGATCTTTACAACAGATCAAGTTTTCTCTCTACAAAGTTGTTTTATTTTTTTTGCTCAAGAGACAAGAGAGAGAGAGAGAGAGAGAGGGAGAGAGAGATCCAAATGAAAAGGGCTCGTTGACATGTGGGTATAGAAGAAGAGGATGAAGATGGGGCTTTGTATAGGAAGTTGTTCAGCACCTCTAGAGAGAGAAGAAGTCGAGAATGATGTTATATATGCTTTCTTCTTGTCATCCTGACGTCTGCATTGCATCCTATATATACATACACTGAACACGCGCCCACACCCATCCACACCCACCCACGCAGGCAACGCAGGCATCATCACAATTTACCAACCCGCCCACTCTGATGACGATACCGTCTCCCCTCATCATCCTGCTCGGCAACAGTCAAATCAGGTAAGCTGACGGGCATGATACGTCGAGGGCTCGTCCCGGGGACGAGGCTGTAGGCCGAGAAGTCGGTGACGCCGGCGTGGCGGCGCAGGAAGTCCTCGTCGAGGAAGAGGCCACCGTTGGTGAGGCCGGCGGGGGCGCGGACGATGGCGCGCACGGCGTCGGAGAAGATGGTCGGCCTGCGAAGCTCGGACGCCAACGTGGCGTCTTCGCGCTCGAACCGCGCCGTGGCGGCCGACTGGATGGCCGCGGCGGGCCAGACGCTCGATATGGAAAGCCTGCCGCGCAGGCTGCCGTCCCGGTCGATGTCGGCGGCCAGACCCTTTGTCAGGACGCTCATGCCTACCTTGCCTATCGAGTAGGCAGTCTTTCCGCGGAAGAAGCGGCTGTAGATGGGGGGGCTGACGACGACGATGCGGCTGCCCTCGGATTCAGAGCATGAGCGGCAGAGATGAGGGTAGCATGCTTGTATGGTGGCGTATAGTCCCTCCGGATTGACCTGCTGCATCAGACGAAACTTTTTGAATGGTGTCGAGGGGAGAGGACCCCAATGGATGGCGCCCGAGTTGTAGACTAAGACGTCTAGACGACCAAATGTCTTTTTTTTTCCATTTCATTTTATTCATATATATTTACTGTTATTTTCGTTCATGAGTGTGTCAAGGGGGAGGAGGGGGGGGGGGGGGCGTATTGGGGGGTTTTTGTTTTGTTTTGTTTCTGATGGGAGAAGGGGGGGCAAGATGGAGAGATGAATGAGGACAAGGAGTCAAGCAACGTACGGAGATGGTGTCGTCGACGAGAGATTTGATGCTGTCCTCGTGACGGACGTCTACTCTGATGGCCTTGGCGATGCCGCCGGACGAGATTATCTCCCGAGAGACTGTGGTTATGGTCGAGTCGGGTGAGTTGACGTCTGGGTTGGTGGGGATGGGCTTGCTCGGGTCGCTGATTGTCTTGGCGGCCACGACGACTTTCTGTCGTGTTAGAATCGTGATGTACATGCATATTCGTGCGTGTGTATATGTATGTGTATGTGTGTGTGTGTGTGTGTGTTGAAGAACTAACCTGCGTAGCCGTCTTTGGCGAGATCAATGGCGATCTGACGACCGATGCCGCGGGAGGCACCTACTACGACGGCGACGCGGGGGGTTTCGGAGGGCATCCTTCTTCTTCTTCTCCAATAGAGGGGAAAACACCAGGGTCTGGGTCTGCTAGAAAACTCACTCTTCTAGAGTTGATGGTGGGTGGGTGTTGATGTGGTATGTGGTGATGTAAAGAGCTCTATGATGGAGATGAGAGATGAGCCTCGGCACAGACAATGACGACTGCCCCCCCCCCCCCCCCCCCCCCACCAAAAAAAAAAGACAAGCCTCGGCCGGTCTCTCAAGATACAACCTAACACCTACATGACTGTATATACGCCGACATCATCTCCAAGGTTGGACGAGGACAAACCAAGTCGATTTCGGACTTGATATAAAACATATCGTACCATCCTCACACGTCCATCATGTCCGCACGTATCGAATGCAACATTGACGTCGGTGCGTTGATTGACCCGTCGGACTCTTCAGCATGCGCCTAGCTGACGCTGTATGGTGATAGCTTCTCTCTATAGCTACATTGCCTACGTCGACCTGATGGGCAATCTAGACAAGTTGAGATCCCACGGAGTAGAAGTAGAGTATGTCTACAAACCCCCCAACCCCCTCTCCTCCCCCCCCTCACTCTCTCTACTGACATTGAACACACCAAGATTCCACCCGATTCTCATTGCCGGCATCAACAAACTATCTGGTATATATATTACGATAATGATCAAATGACAATATCGATTTGAATGAATCATACACACCACGTACCAAAGACGCACGTCGGGCTGACCTCTCCATCCAAGGCAACAAACCGCCGTGGCTGCTCCCCGCCAAGGCCAAGTACATCGACTCCGACGTCAGGCGCGCCGCCAGCCGTCTGGGCATGCCCGCGCCCGTCACGCCGGACAGCTTCTTGGAGACCCGGAGCTTCACGGCCTCGCCCCAGCGCGCCATGCTCTACGTCAAGGCCAACTACCCGGCTCGGACCTTCCACGCGGTCCTCGCCCGTCTGTTCAGCGCCATGTGGATCCCCCCCCACGTCAACGTCTGCTCGGACGAGGGGCTGGCCCGGGTGCTGGCCGAGGCCGTGGCGTCCGACGGGGAGCCGGTCTTTACCGACCACGATGTGCGCGCCGTTCTGGACGGCAGGGCCGGCTTGAAGGATAGCCTGGCGAGCCAGACGAACAAGGCCGTCGACCAGGGTGCCTTTGGTGCTCCGTGGTTTTGGGTGACGAACGCCAAGGGGGAGACTGATGGGTTCTTTGGAAGTGACAGGTGAGTTCTCTCTCTCTCCCTCTCTCTCTCTCTTTCTCTTCTCTTCTCTTCTCTTCTTATATATGTTACATATAAAAGCGTCTCTGATAGGAAGAGCATGTAGGAAAAGAAAAGAGAAGAGGAAAGGAAGAAGAAGAAGAGAGACAAGAGTGCTGACGTGTCGCAGATTCAACCACATCTATCGTCACTTGGGTATACCCTTTCAGGATGTGACTGTTCTGCCAGCATCCAAGATATGATGTCATGATTTCGATTGCGTCTGATGAGTACAATGATTGAACAAAAACGTAGTGTACAGATAAACATCTATATAGCGATTCTTTTCATCGAAATCGACTACTCATCCATCCCTGTCACCCACAATATATATACATGTACATCCGAACACGTGCTCGGCACTACTCTCTCTCTTCTTCCCCTCTCTCTTGCCGTCGAACAAGAAGACCAGAGATCTCAACGAGAGACAGGCCACTTCTTCTTCCTGTCAGCCTGCCGGGGAGCAGAAGCAGCGGCGGGCTTGTGGGACTGCTGCTGCTGCTGCTGCTGCTGCTGTTGATGGGACATCTTCGAAGCCTTCTCGATACCGGTCCAGAAGCTCTCGACGGGCAGCTCGAGGATCTCGACGGCGCGAGAGGCGAAATTGGCGTCCGACGTGGACTCGAGGCTCTTGAGGGAGGACCTCACCCACCCGACGATGGCGGCCAGGGCGCGGGGGTCGGCTTCGGGGTCTCCCTTGAACAGGTTCCTCCAGACGGCGCTGGCGAGGACGGCGTCGCCCTTGACCAGGCCCTCGTCGTAGGCGACCATGACGCCGCGCCACTGCACGAATATGTCCTTGAGGTAGCGCTGGCGCAGGGCGCTCGACGTGATGCCGTGGTCGATGTGCATCTTGCGCTCGGCCTCGAAGAAGAAGTGGTCGACCAGCTGTTGGCGCCAGTTGGCGAACTCCTCGCGGTCGAAGCAGCGGAGGCGGGCGTTGAGGATGTACAGGTGCAGCATCGTGACGTGAGACCATGTGCTGAAAGTCGGGGGTAGGTTGAACACTGTACATATCCGCCATCAGTATTCATCTTTCCACACAAACTTTCAAACCCCCACACCATCCTTCACCTCCCTCTCTCTCTCTTGCAGGAGAGGGGAGGGGAGTGAGGGAGGGAAGAAGAGAAAGAAGGGGAAAGAAAACGAATTTTTTTTTTTAAAAAAAAAAAAAGAGAGAGAGAGAGAGAGAGAGAGAGAGAGAGAGAGAGACCTACACTCGTGCCACACTTTCCGCTTGGCAATTGATCGTCCAACCTCCTCTCCGTCCTCCAACCTCTCGACTTCGTCCGCCTTGCGCACATCCTCGGCTATCTCGTAATTGGCAGCATCGCCGCACACGGTATACAGCCTTTCCGTGGCTCCCACCACAAAGTACGCCCCTCGTCCCCTGCCGAGGTCTAGCAACGACCTGGTAGCCGTGGTACTCAGGTCGCGCGTCTGTCCTCTCCTCATGGCGCTCATTCTGTTACCATCTCCCGCCGTGCTGACGACTTGTTGCTGTCTCCTCGTCGCCCTCGTCGCAAGAGCTGCTACCGCTGCTGCTCTCGGTGCCGCGGTGGCCGCGGTGGTGATTTGCGAGACCACCAGCCTGGCCTGTGACCTGCAGCCACTGCAGGCAGACATCGTGGTGTGTGTGTGTGTGTGTGTGTTTTTGTCTTTTTTTCTTTCTTTCGTCGTTGTCTCTCTCTCTCGGTTGGTATTCTTCGTTTTCAGTCCGTGGGATGGTGAGGAACTCGAGGTTTTGTCTATGCCATGGTTCGTGGGTACAGAGGGGAAAAAAAGGGTTAGAAGGACAAGAAAGGGAAAAAAGAAGAAGAAAAAAAAGAAGAAAAAAAAGTCACTGGCGCGCTGCTGGGTACTACGGGAATTTCCAACGTGATGATGGTTAGTGGTGACGGGTCCGAAATTGACCCGGTCCCGGTGGGTGACAAAAGGGGCCGCTACTTAATCTTGTCGTGGGTTGTAATCCGACACGACCATGAGAATGTCTTTTCTCGCTGTTAGATAGATGGTATGTGAAAAGATTCTTGAACATGGTAATGCTTCAACATGATTTATTGCTTCAGCTCTCGTTCCTTGCTTCCTTGCTTTTATTGCTACTCTTACCATGAATGGTGGGCCTTCTATATCCTCTGGTCCCCCCCCCTCTTTTATGTCACCCACTCAGACACCGTCTATAACACATATCTGAGCATCGACAAGCTTCTCTTTCTTTCTTTTTATTTATTTTTATTTTTATTTTTATTTTTGGACAGGTATGATGATACATTGGTATTACATTGGTATTCTTCTTCTTCTTCTTCTTCTTCTTCTGTTTTTCCGTCTTACCGAAACTTGGAAAAAACCAAGCTGCTGTTTGTGCCACCAAAGCCAAAGCTGTTGGACATGGCTGTCTCGATCGTCTTCTCCTGGGCCTGGCCAGGTACAAAGTTGAAGTCGATACCTACGTCTGGATTCTCGAGGTTCAACGTAGCGGGGGCAATATCCTGAACCGGAAAAAAAAGAAGGAAAAAAAATGAGAAAACCGTGTTAGCATCTGATCAGCAGCAGGTACGCGTTGCCTGGATACATACCTCGTAGACGGCCAAGATGGAGTACAGAGCTTCGATAGCCCCGGCCGCACCGAGCAGGTGGCCCATGGCACCCTTGGTGCTGCTGACCGTAACCTGGGACTCGCGCAGCACGCCGTGGTCGCCGAGCATGAGGCGGCGTATGGCCCTTGCCTCGGCCCTGTCGCCGACCTGCGTCCCCGTCCCGTGGGCGTTGATGTAGTCCACGGCCGAGGGGCTGAGGCCGGCGCGGCGCAGGGCCCTGCTCATGGCGAGGTAGGCGCCGTGCCCGTCCTCCCGCGGGGCCGTCATGTGGTGCGCGTCGCCGCTGCACCCGTAGCCCTTGACCTCGGCGTAGATGCGGGCGCCGCGGGCCTTGGCGTGCTCCAGCTCCTCGAGCACGCACACAGCCGACCCCTCGGCCACGACGAAGCCGGCACGGTCCCTGTCAAACGGCCGGCAGCTCGAGCGAGGCGCGTGGTTGAAGCCGGTGGAGAGCGACCGCGCCCGTCCGAAGCCGGCAAAGGTGAGCGGGTGGATGCACGACTCCGACCCCCCCGCTACCATGACGTCGGCGTCCCCCAGGGCCACGAACCGCGAGGCGTCGCCGATCGAGTGCGCCCCTGTCGTGCATGCCGTCGTCGCTGCGTGGTTGGGCCCCATGAAGCCGTGCTTCATCGCTATGTGGCCGGCGGCCATGTTGATCAGGATCCTGGGAACGAAGAGCGGTGATACATTTTTATAGCCCTAAAGTTGGATAGTCAGAGATTGTGGGTTTGTGCGTAATATGTGTCCAGAGATGAACAGGGAAACGAGACGAGACATATATATATATAGAGAGAGACGTACCCTGGCATGATGAGCCAAGCTAGTCTCATACATCTCATCCAGATTGCCGATGCCGCTGCCCAGACACACACCGGTATTCTCCCTTTCTCGCTCGGACGCATCCTCCAGTCCGGCGTCCACGAGGGCCATTTCGCTGGCCGCGATGGCGTACTGGGTGAATGTCGACATGCGGCGCAGCTCAGTCGGGCCCAGCCACCGCGTCGGGTCCCACAGCCCTGACTCCCCCCCTTCTTCTTCTTCTTCTTCTGCCTCTTCTTCGGCTACCTGACCTCCTCGATCATGACGCCGAGCCGCCGGGACGATGCCGGCGACCGTGCTCGTCAGCTCTCCCCATCGATCCGAAGGCTGGCGGTCGGCCACGCTGACGATGCCAGAGTCGCCGGCCAGGAGGCGCGTCCACGATCGTCGTATGCCCACGCCGAGGGGGGTGACGGCACCTAGACCAGTCACGACAACGCGACGCATGCTCGCCTTCCCATAGCCTTGGTCCAGGATTGCAGAGAGTGTTGATTAGCGTCGGTGGTGGCTGCCGAGGCTTCATCCGAATGATGGATGACGTCCTTCCAAGGTAACCCCGACGTTCTGGTAACGCCTGACGAAGAGTCGGAATCTCGTAGAGACGCGTTTCGCACTGTGAGATTGTGGAAGCCCCTGCATATGATCCACAGTGCGTGGATCGTTGAGCAAGTTTAGCTTGGACCCTGAAACCTGCTCAAGCCTCAAAGCCTCGAGAATCAAAACCTTTTTTTCTTCCTTATTTATTGTATTTCTTCTTCAAATTGTCTTCTACCTCCTACCATAAGATTAAAGAATAATAAAAAAATACCCTATTATATCTCTTTTTCCTGCACATCTCAACACCAAAATGGAGACTTGAATTGCTGTTCGCATCCGTCGCTCGTTTGAATCCTTGTGCACCTGGAAAAGGTTGTTCTGTTCCCTGCTGGTTATACCCGAGCCCCCCCCAATGTGCCACGTCTCCTGGAGAGTTCCAATCGTCATCTCCCTACCCGATCAGTAGACGTCTGAACAAAGGACACGACGACCAACAAATATCTGGTCCGGAGAGGCATTACGCGGGAGCGGAGCTACTACATCTTGATATTCGATAAATTTGGATACCGTCTATACTCTCTCTCTCATTCTTCTAATCGCCATTGCCTTCATTCGTTCCTCTCATTCGACTCATTCCCATCTCATAGCATGCGCTTCCACGTGGTGATGCGCATGAGCTTACGATAGAGAGATCGAAACACTCAATCCCACAGATACGCACAAGGCCGGTGACCGGATCTCCATTCCTCGCCATGGCCCACAGGAGAGCGGCGCCTCACTCCGGGGTGGAATTGGACCACGCCTATCCAGCCTCCCGCACCTCAGCGACCTACCTACCCGATGAGTTCGAGCTGCGGGAGACGGGTACGCGCAACGACGAAGAGCAAGGCCAGGACTCTGAAAACGAGCAGCTTCTCGACCCCAACCTACCAGAGGTCGACGGCACCGGGCGTCTCCGCACCTCGGAGGAGGAGGATGGCGTCAGCGCCAAGGGGGAAGAAGGAGAAGGAGAAGACGGAGAAGGGGAAAACTCCCCGTACCCGGAAGTCCGGGCCGCCGTCAAGAACTACGACGAAGACCTCCCCTGCAACACGGTGCGCGCGTGGACCATCGGCCTCTCCCTCGTGGTCCTGGGCGCATCCATGAACACGCTCTTCTCCCTTCGCCAGCCGTCCATCTCGATCGGCCCGCTGCTGGCGCAGATCATATCGTGGCCCCTGGGCCACGGCTGGGCCGCCGTGGTCCCCGACAAGACGTTCCGCGTGTTCGGGCACGCCGTGGAGCTCAACCCGGCGCCCTTCAACGTGAAGGAGCACACCGTCATTGTCGTCATGGCCAGCGTCGCCTTCTCCGTCGCCTACGCCACCGACATCATCCTCGCCCAGCTCGTCTTCTACAAGCAGGACTTTGGTCTCACCTTCCAGCTCCTCCTCACCATATCGACGCAGTCGCTCGGCTATGGCATTGCGGGCATGATGCGCAAGTTTCTGGGTACGTCGTTCCCTTTCTTCTTCTTCTTTTTCTTGACGAATTGTTACAAGTTTTCAAATTTTTCAATCTCATCTTTTTTTTTTTTTTAAAAAAAAAAAGAGAAGAAGAAAAGGAAGAAGAAGGAAGACGTACAAGATACAGCATGTATACTGACAGAAGAGTAGTATATCCCGCCTCCATGATATGGCCTGGTAACCTCGTTGCCGTCACAGTCCTCAACGCCATGCACGAGACGGACGATAGGAGGGACCCGACCGTCCTTGGCGGGAGCATGTCCCGCTACAGGTGGTTCACCATCATCACCGCCTGCTCGTTCTTCTACTACTTCATCCCGGGCTTCTTCGTCCGCTGCCTCAGCGTCTTCGCCTTCGTCACATGGATGGCCCCCCAGAGTCCCGTCGTCAATCAGCTGTTTGGCGGGGAGACCGGTCTCTCCCTCTTGCCAATCACTTTTGACTGGACCCAGATCTCTGGCTACGTCGGGTCGCCGATGATTCCTCCTTGGTATGTTGAACCGTCCCTCCGTCTCTTTGTGTGTGCGTGCGCATGTCCGTGTTCTCGCGCGTACGATCGAATTGATCTTGACCCCCCTCCCTAGGCACGCCATCGCCAACACATTGGTCGGCGTGGTCTTCTTCTTCTGCTCCCTCTCCGCCATCCTCCACTTCAACGGCGTGTGGTACGGCGAGTATCTCCCCATGAGCGACTCGAGCACCTACGACAACATGGGCAACCACTACGACACGTCTCGCATCCTCACCCCTGACTTCTCCCTCGACGAGAAGGCTTACAAGGAGTATTCACCACTCTTCATAAGGTACGCCCTGCTCCCGACTCCGCCGGATGATACGGAACGTCCTACAATAGACCTCTTTCTTACCACGTGTGTTTCTTTTTGTGTGTGTGTGTGTGTGTGCGCGCGTTACCAGTACAACATTTGCCATGTCGTATGGACTATCATTTGCCGCCATATCATCCCTCGTAGTCTACACATATCTACACAACCGGAAGCAAATCTGGAAACAGTACAGGAACAGTGCGGGTGAGAAGCCCGATATCCACATGAAGCTCATGAGCAAGTACAAGGAGGCACCGACGTGGTGGTACATGACGCTATTTTCCCTTGTGAGTCTCCAGCCCCTGACCCTGAGAAGCCTCATCTCGGCTGCATACATGCACCCTCTCCTTTCTTCCTCCTCCTCCTCTTCTTCTTCTTCTTCTTCTTCTTCTTCACCCGTCCAAGTCAAACTGACCAAAGGGTGCATCATCTTAGATGCTTGTCATGGGCTTCATCACTGTGCTAGGTTACCCAACCCACCTCACGTGGTGGGCTTTCCTCTTGGCCGTCGCCATCTCTTTTGGCTTCTCCCTACCCATTGGTATCATCGAAGCCATTACAAACAACCAGATCGGCCTCAATGTCTTGACAGAGTTCGTCTACGGCTACATACAGCCTGGTCGACCTCTTGCTCTCATGATGTAAGCACGTGGCAGACCCCATTTTCGAGGATTGACGGGAAACCTTGAAACTGACGGATCGAACCGGGAACAAAAACCAGTTTCAAGACGTTTGGACACATTACCATGTGAGTCGCCGTATACTATATTTGTCAAAAAAAAAAAAAAAAACACCCCTTTGTTCCTGGATTAGCGGCAGCTGACCCGTTCTCCTTGTCGAATCTCATCGTAGGTCACAAGCCTTGGGCTTCGTCGGTGACCTAAAGCTAGGTCATTACATGAAGATCCCACCTCGGACGATGTTCCTAGCGCAGGTGGTAGCCACGACGCTCTCGTGCTTCATCCAGGTAGTAGTCCTCAACCTGGCCCTCAACAGCATCCCGGACGTGTGCGAGCCCGACCAGCCGGAGAAGTTTACCTGTCCCGGTGGACGGGTCTTCTACGCGGCGTCGGTCATATGGGGCCTCGTGGGTCCCGACAGGATGTTCTCTCCGGGACGCATATACTCCGGACTGTTCGCCTTCTTCGTCCTGGGCGCCGTCGTGCCGGCGGCGGTGTACTTTGGGCTGAAGCGCTGGCCTGATTCCCCCCTCCGCTACGTCATGGCACCGCTCATCTTCGGCGGCGCCAGCGCCATCCCGCCGGCCACGCCGCTCAACTACCTCTCCTGGGGCATCGTGGGATTCGTCTTCCAGTACTGGATCAAGAGGCGCCACTTTGGCTGGTGGAGCCGTCTCAACTACCTCACGTCGTCCGGGCTGGACCTCGGCCTCGCCCTGGCCACCCTCTTCATCTTCTTCGCCTTCACCATGAACGACGTCGGGCCCCCCAAGTGGTGGGGCAACACCATTGTCGATAGCACTATGGACATGCAGGGCACTGCAGTGCAGATGCATGTGCTCGACGGCGGGGGGGCGCAGCGCTTCGGTCCCGATACATGGTGAGGCTCACCACTAGACTACGATAGAGAGAAGAAGAGAAGGAGGAGAGTCAACCTCTTGTACATCTAATTTGCAATACAGCAGCAGCAGCAGAAGAAGAAGAAAAAGATGATTATTGTACATCATGTGTACACACGCACGCACGCACTCACAGACGCACAGACGCACAGACGCACAGACGCACAGACGCACACATACAGGAGGAGGGGCGCGGATCAGACAAGAAAGAATGTGCTGGCTGTAGATGCGACTCGAAAGCCACCATTTCCCCATGCGAGCACGGAGCACAGAGCACATGTGCAGATGTCTAGGGATCGGCAAGGTAAGGCTTGCGCGTGCTGTTTCTGCCATGCCTCTCTCTCTAGACAAGAGAGAAGATGGGAATGACGGGTGAGCAGCAATGCGATGCATCGGGGAGAAGGAGAAGGATGGTGCCGTGGGGCTGACAGTATAATACCACCCATCCCACACACCAATAGCGAACACCGGGACGGGACGGGACGAGCCTTGAAGGGAAGAGAGTTTTTTGAAGTCAAAGATGGGGGAGAAGCTATTTCCTATTCTCTTTATGAGGATATATATATATATATACTCTAGCCGTGATACTTTGGGTTTGAAGCCTCAGAAGCAGCCGATAGATCAGTTGGCGTGGCCTTCTTGAAACTCGGGGCGTCTCCCCATTTTTGGTGTAAGCGATGGGTTCCTGTATATACAAGCTTTCTCTTCTGCGTACACATCCCCAGCTGTAAATAAAGGGAAAACAAAAGAAGAAGAAGAAGAAAGAGACAAAAAGGGGGGGAGCTTGAAGGAGGATGAGAAGATATGGAGGGACTCGGCAACAGCAGCAGCAATAACAACAGACACAGAGCTCGGTACGATGGTATATATCCACACAGACCTTCTTTCCTCGATCGACTCTCTTCTTTTCTTATCCAAGGTATCGGTTTCAGTCTGCTACTGTCAACCTGTTAGAACGCAGGAGATACTCGTCACATCAAGCGTTTCCGTAGCAGCACCTGGCTGAAAGAAGGAGGGAGTGACTCTCATACCGCATACATGTATGCAACTGCTTGGGAAGAAAGCCTCCTTCTCTCCCACTCAACTCTCTCTCCAAATTCCATTCTCTCGTGTCTCGTGAATTCCCCTTTTCTGAGGCTTGAAAACCTTCCCGCTGCATCCTTTGAAGTTACTGTTCGCCCAGGGGTTCCCTCCCCATGGCTTATTATTTTTCTGGAGGGGGGGGGGGAGTATACAAGGAACACATGATGACTCGGACATTGTCTGTTTTCCTTTCTCCTTTCTCCTTTCCCTTTCCTCTATCCCTTCACCCACAGCTTCATCGGTATTTTCCTACTTCACGTCCCGCAACTCGATCTATCCTGCTTTTTTCTTTCTTCCAGATTACTCGTCAGAGGCTCTCTTCGAATCCAGCTGCAACGAACAGGAGATGTGAGTGCCCATCTTCTCTTCTCTAGCATCGGAAAACATCATCTTCTTTTTTTTTCGTTTGTCTTTTTGTCTTGTTTGTTTACTTGCTGTTTACTTTCTATCTACTCTTCTTCTCACTCTCCCCCGCACACGTACGCCAACACTGTTTCCTGTCTACTTCTCCTTTCCACTCTCCCCCTTACCAGTACCCAGCTCTTGATATACTTGAAATAGCTTCCTCTCTCGGCGCCCCTTTCTTTGGCCGTCTACTATTTCCAGAGGTATTGATGATCCCTTCATCCTCATCCGATCGGCTGAGTCGTTCAGCCTTTCAGACTCTCCCTCCTCTTTTCCTTCTTCTTGAGAGCTCTTCTCTTTCATTATCTATCAGGAAGTTGAGAATCTTCTGATGGGAACCCGCTGACAGTTGATAGGAGAGCTAGACGACGCAAGAGCTCTCTCTCGTCTTGAGCACAGAACCTGATCATTGCTGCCGCGATTCTCAGTACCCCTTCCAAGAGGACCGACTTCAGTCTCCCCCCCGCCCCTCACTCCCTTTGTTTTTCTTTACCACCATCCATCTCAGCTTATCATGTTTACTACGACCGGTATGGGGCTTAGGCCTCACGCTGAGGCGAAGAAGTCACGTCCCAAGGTCTCCGAGAGCAGAAGGAGGCGCATCAGCCGAGCATGCAATGCGTGCAAGAGCCGCAAATCAAAGGTACGTCCACTCCCCTTCCTGGCTTTCCACGCTGCCCAAGACCCCCGACAGGTGCTCGACAGGGGAGGATCATCAGGGGAGTTCCCAACGCCCCCTGGCCAGGGCTGACCAAGGTTCAATCTATAGTGCACCGGCGGACATCCGTGCACCTCTTGTAGAGAAAAGGACTTTGAGTGCCGGTATCGTCCACAGCACGGTCAGATGGCTCCGGCTCCCGTTCAGCAGGCCCCGGCTCCCGTCCCGCAGCCCCCAGCTCCTCAGAATCAGAGCATCACGCCTCTGGGGAGTCCGAGTACATGGTTGTCTGAGACCAGACCTGACCCCGATCCGTCGCTTCTTGATGACATTATCACTCAATGGTTGGACAGCCCCTCTGCCCAGCCACAGTTCGACGGTCCCTCTCAGCAGAGACAGTCCTTCGACGGCTATCCTCTCCAGACGCAGTCCTTCGACGGCTACCCTCCTCAGTTGCAGTCGTTCAGCGACTACCCCCCCCCAATGCAGTCATTCAACGGCCCTCCTCGGCAGTCGCAGTTCGATGGCTATCCCCCCCCGACACCGTCGTTCACCGGCCCTTTTCCGTATTCGCAAGTGTTCGACTACGTCTCTCCCCAGTCACAGACGTTCAACTATCCCTCTCTCCAGCCAGAGTCGTTCAACGGCTCCCCTCTCCAGCCAGAGATGGCCACCCAGTCGCGGTATTACTATCCATCTACCCAGCAGAGACTGGACAGCTGGTCCGTGCCGAGATCATCCGGACTACCTCCTATCGAGCACTCGGACCCGTCAGGACAGGGCAACGGCGCGATGCTCCAGACGCCAGTGGCCCAATATAATTAGGCCAACTGAGAGCATTGTTTCTTGTCGAGGACGCGACTGTACATGCCCCCAACTCCTCACAGCCATTCTCATCCTAGCAGTACGTTTACTTCCGATGGCCTCCCGAGAGAGCACCTCTACACCTACAGCTAGCCCACCCAACAGGCCGGCACGGGTGTGGGACTGTAGACACCACCACCACCGCCACCACCACCCCCCCCAAAAAAAAAAAAACCGGTGAGCCCACCGTGCGTAATGGTCAGTGAAGAATGGCCTTCTACGGGGAGGTAGAAAAGAAGAAGAAGAATAGCAGAAAACAGAGGAAGAGGAAACAGAGGAAGAGGAAAAGAAAAAGAAAAAAAGGAGAAAAAACGAGAAAGAGAGGGAAAAATAAAAAAGGGGGAGGGGGGGAGAATAAGGATGATGCAATCAATATTACTAGTACACTAGCGAAGAACAGAGAAAAGCGAGCATTCACCCCGGATTTGCAAATGTCTTTCGACAGGATATTGCTAGATATCAATAGCAGTAGTAGCAGAAAGAAAAATGTTTGCTGGTTATCTAAAAACCAAGAAGGAAAAAAAAAGGGGTACCTAAGTAGTACAATGTGTGTGTGTGTGTGTGTGTGTACATTACCACGCGCGCGTGTCCATCCATCCATTCACCCCAAATTGACCTCTCTCTCTCTCTCTCTCTCTCTCTCTCTCTCTAGATATGTATATATATATCAAAGAAACAAGCTCTCAAAGCACGAGCCTTCCGGGCTCCTCCTCGAGGATGACCTTGCACCTCTCGAGGAAAGCCTTTGCCCTCGTCTCCTCAGCCGGAGGGACGACGAGGCTGAAGACGTTGGGGCCGCTAGACAGCCCAGGAACGGTGGCGGGAATGGAGGGGGAGCCGGCAACGGCGGTAGGCTTCCTGGGCTTCTTTCCGGCCAGCAGGTCGATGACGTCGTAATCAGCCGATTTTCTGGCGGGAGCGACGCGCGGGGTGGCGGGGGTGACGACGGAGATCTGGGGGAGGTAGGTGCCCCTGGAGCCGGCGGCGGCCGAGGCCTTCTTGACCTTGTCCAGGCCGAGGACCCGGTCGAACAGCTCGGCGGAGGTGGGCTGGCGCCTGGCGGCGGGGGGGAGTTGGTCGTTGGCGACGTCGGCGGCGCGGCCGATGAAGGTGGAGAGGGGGAGGAAGACGCCCAGGGTGTCGTGGATCTTGTTCTGGACCTCGACCACCTTGGAGAGGGAGACGGGGAGGTCGACCCGGATGGGAGGGGGAGGGGCGGCAGCTGCTGCCTTCTTGACGTCCTCCTTGGGAGCAGCGGCAGCAGCTGCCGGCTTCTCCTTCGGGGCGGCAATCTTGATGTTGGAGAGGTCAAGGCGGGAGAGCTGGTCGAAGCGAGAGGAGATGGCGGCCGGTGTGCCGGGGGAGATGGCACCGACGAAGGCGAGGACGTCGCCCTTGAGGAGACGGCCTCCGGGTCCGGTGGGCTTGATCTTGGCCAGGTCGGCCTCGGAGATGCCGTTGGCCTTGACGATGTTCTCGACCGAAGGGTAGAGAGGGTACCTCACGGGCTGGGCTTCGTCGGAGGTGTTGGCACCCTTCTCGGCGACGGGCGCAGATGCAGCAGTACCAGCGTTGTTGTTGTTGTTGTTGTTGTTGTTAGAAGAGGCTGATGAGGAAGCGGCGCTGTCGGGCTGCTGAGCACTGTTGCTGTCGGGGGGGAGCTCGAGAGAGGCAATATCGTCGCCAGCCTCGGCGACGACGGCGATGCGCGTACCGACCTGGATTCCCTTGGAGCCGTCCTGTTGCACAATCTTCATCATGATACCGTCCTCCTGGGCCTCGACGTCCATGGTGGCCTTGTCCGTCTCTATCTCGAGAAGGACGTCTCCGGCGCTAAAGGTCTGGCCCTCCTTGACATTCCAGGTAGCAATGTTTCCCTCCGTCATGGTGGGAGATAGAGCGGGCATGCTGAAGTTCTGGGCGGCCAGGGATCGAGAGGATGAGGTGAAGGCTGTTGCCAAAGCACCGTAGGTCAGAACATCTCATTATCTTGCGCATTTTTTTCCCTCTTCTGTAGCAGGAGAGGAGGGAGGGGAGAGATCAGAGAGGGCTTACTCCTGGTGGCGGCTGCACCCGTGAGACGAGCCGTGGCTCGGCATGCTGCCGCGATCGACGACGCCATTGCGCGGAGAAGGGAATTGACAAGAGCGGAGATGGGGGGAGGGGAGGCGAAAGGGTCGCGACGTTGATGAGTCGGTATGGACACGGGAGAGCACGGGGAAGAGAGAATAAACTATGAGGCTCTTGCAGGAAGCTGTTGTTGGGACGGATTGGTTAGTGGAACCACCTGACCCAATATTTTTGACGGACGGCATCGGAGCGGGTCGTTGACGGAATAATGAGGACAGGTCTCTGATCAGTTTAGCATGATGGATGTCGCCGACATTATTGTCACGGCGACGTGGCCAGGGGGACAACTCCTTTGTATCTTTTTTTTTTTTCCTTTGCTCTCTCTGTTAGCTCTCTTGTCTCGCATGTACGAGCACCTATCGACGCTCGGCTTCAAATTTCATCGAACCCCCACCAACGTACCCTCTGTATCCGGGAAGAGACAGGAGACAATCAATCCGTGTGTCCGCTCACAATGGCCAGCATCTGTCGGGGTCTGTTCCCCCCCGGCATGAGGCCACTCCTCCGCCCCTCCAAGCTCTCCACCATCACAACTACTACACCTCGACTCCAGCCCGCCTCCTTCTTCTCGACGTCGTCTATCCGACAGCGGGCGATCCAAGCATCGAGGATCCAAGCATCGAAGAAGCCTGCGATGAAAGTCCCGATAGCCTCGCGATCATCACCATCAGCCGCCCCGCAGTCGAGCTATGCCATGATCAAGAGTCTGGCCGTCAAGCCCACGCCGACGATCCTGTACGAGGGACCATCGCACTTCTGGTTCTACTTTGGCTGCTGGACGAGCGGCGGCCTGATCCTAGCGTGGACCGCCATCACGGGCCCAGGCGTGGTGAACGACCAGCCAGACGGGGTGCCGCGCTGGGTGGGCTGGGTGTACACTGCCTCGTATGCGCTGCTGGCTGCGATGGGGTTCTACCTCATTTCCAAGACGCCAAACATTGTCAAGACGATACGGGTGATTCCCAGATCCATTCCTGCGGCGGCAACCTCTCCTTCCCCTTCTTCTTCTTCTTCTTCTTCTTCTTCTTCTTCTTCTTCTTCTTCTTCGTCTGCAGCTGCAGCTACGAGGTCCTCGGCGGCGGCAACATCACCACTGCTAGACATGGAAATCACCGTCCGTCGGGCCCTGCCACTGCTAGACCCCAAGGTGATCACGACAAGCCTGGATCGGGTGTCGCTCGCATCGCGCCTCTCGCTCCCAGAGGAGCATGTCCCCCGTCTACGTCGCGAGCAGGTTGAGCTGCACGAGGAGAAGAAGGCGCAGGAGCTGCTCAAGTTCGACATGGGCCACATCCTCACCATGCCTTTTCGTAGGGTCGGTAGGGCGTTTGTCGGTCTGTTTGAGGGCGTCAGGGCTGCCTGGACGGATATGGGGTTTGGGGTGGTCCGTGTTGGTGGCAAGGCGTACAAGATTGATGTGACGCAGGGGTTTGCGCATGATGGCTTCAGGACGTTGGAGAGGATTGTGGCTATCGACGAGTGATGGTAGGGCACCGGAGATGTTTGTTTCCTTTGTGGAAGATGTATTCTAAATGTATCCTGTATGATATCAGATCTACCTATTACTACTGCTGCTGCTGCTGCTGCTGCTGCTGCTGCTACTAATCAGCGCCATGTAATAATATATATTTATGTATGTAGACTTGGAGGTGTCAAGGTGTTGGAGGAGTGGGATTTTTCACCATCTAATATATCACATACCCTGCACTTCTCGGTGCGAACTCCAAACATGAAGGTTCGAATTGAGCATCGTATGTCGGGAGGATCAGAGGAGAAGCCAATTCGTTCGATTGCCCATCTGACACATTGTACTACTAGCAGATGCAATCTTACATGAACGGTCACCGCCATTCGACAATTCGAGCCGGAAAAGGAAAAACGTCAGTCACGGTCGTTATTGGACGTGTAAGCGCGCATCTACGTCGTATGTCATATTGACTGCGCATACACACACAGACGCACACTCTTCACTCCGCCTTTTTTTTTTTTTTTTTCAAATAGAAAGAGATGGAAGAAAAGTTCATGTCATGGCGTAATATGTCGTCTTTTTGCCCTATGATAATAATGAATGCAGGAAGTGGGAATGATGGCTGACGAAAAAAAAAAGGTTTACACCGTTACATGGGTACAATTGAATCGTTGGAACGCCAAACTAGTTCACCCGGCGACAAAGGCGGCCCCTTGAAGTATCAGATCTATCTAGACACTCTTTTGGAATCGTGCACGATAAGCTTCGGTAGCATATAAAGTACTTGCAACGAAGTCAGAGGTTCTCGAGAAGCTGAAACAAGCAGACAGATTTGTGTCAGAAAGAAGAGGTAGGAGGCGAAAAAAGAGAGAGAGAAAAAAAGGCGAAAGTGATTAGTAGTATCGGATGGTGGATAGAGGAGGGGATGATGCTGTATGATGAGCCAATAACACCTTGTCGAATCGGCAGATGGGGAGAAACCAGGGATGTGAGAGGGAGGGGTGACATGGAGACTTGGCTTCTTTTTCGCCTCCTCTTTCTTCCTCTTCGCCTTTACGAGAAGCCTCTACAGGGTCTGAAGGCCGACGAGTTACGTACTTGCAGACGAAGGATCGACATTGATAGAGAAGAGTGTAGAGAAGTATCTGCCGTTGCAACCCCATAGGAGGTCTCCCCCCCC